CCCACCCCTCCCCACAGGCCCCTGGACACCGGCCTCTGGGGCGCTCCCCTTCCTCCTGGGCTGTCCCCTCTTTCCCTGGTGTCCTGTCGCCTCTCCCACCCTTCCTGCCCACCAGGCTCTGTCTGGGGACTTCTCTTGTATTCTTGCTCGAGCGGGGCCTCTGCAGGGGATGTCCCAGCTGCTGGTCCAGGGCTCTGTGCAGCTGCACACAGGGTGACCTCACCCCGTCAGCAGCCTGGCTGGCTGAGAAACTCCTGATGGGACCCCTGGCCAAGGTCGCAGGGCTGTCTTTTCACCATCTGTCAAGGGTAGGACCGTGCAGGCCCCTCAGACCTCACTGCACCTTAGACACATGCCTCTGAACGCGAAGGTTCCATCTAGAACAGCTCTGGCTTTGGCACTGGGGAAGTGGCCGGAAGATGGGTGTGAGGTGACTTTTTGGTGATGTCAACGCTAGGTTAAGCTCCCTTTTTTTTTTGAGTCGGAATCTCACTCTGTTGTCCAGGCTGGAGAGCAGTGGCACGCTCACAACCACTGCAGCCTCGACCTGCTGGGCTCAGGTGGTCCTTTCGCCTCAGCCTTCTAAGTAGCTAGAACCACAGATGTGCGGCCACAGTGCCCCGTTTTTTGGTTTTTTGTTTTGATTTATGGTAGAGATGAAGTCTTGCCAAGTTGCCGGGGGCCTGGTCTCAAACTCCTGGACTCAGGCAATCCTCTGGCCTCAGCCTTCCAAAGTGCTGGGATCACAGGCATGAGCCATTGTGCCTGGCTTGGTTAAGCCCCTTTTTTTGTTTGTTTTTTAGCGACGAGGTCTCGTCAAGCTGCCAGGCTGATCTCGAACTCCTAGACTCAGGCAATCCTCTGGCCTCAGCCTTTCAAGTGCTGGGATTATAGATGTGAACCATCATGCCTGACTGGTTAAGCCCTTTTTTTTTTTTTTTTTGAGTTGGAGTCTCACTCTGTCACTGAGACTGGAGTGCAGTGGCCGCTTCTGGCCACCGCAGCCTCCACCTGCTGGGCTCCGGCGATCCTTCCGTCTCAGTCTTCCAAGTACCTGGAACCACAGGCGCGCGCTACCACGCCCAGCTAATTTTTTGATTTACTGTAGAAATGAGGTCTCGCCAAGTTGCCTAGGCGAGTCTCGAACCCACGGGCTCAGGCAATCCACTCACCTCAGCCTCCCAAAATGCGGGATTACAGGCTAGGCCACCGAGCCCAGCTAAGCCCTTTTTAAGTAGACCCGTCCATGGGTTGTTACGCATGCTCAACTTCATCTGAAGTTCGTTTAAGGCATGCGGTTTACGTGTCTCCACTGTCCTGGCCCGCTCCTGCCCCTGTAATGCAATGCCTGTCCCTGGACACTTGGTAAGCAGCAGATGTCTACTTCTCACCAGTCTGGAGGCTGGAAGTCCAAAGCGCAGACTCTGTCTGGTGAGGGCCCGGGCTCTGCCTCCAAGACGGCGCCTCCTAATGTGTACTCATGTGCCAGAGGGCAAAGGGCACAGGGGCCCCAGCTGTCTCCAGCCCTTGTACAGGCTCGCTTGGCCGTCTGTGCAGGAGAATCCTCGAGGCCTCGTCCCCTCCCCACGGCCCCCTGGGGACACTGCTGCCAGGCGGTCACCCAGTGCACTGCTTCTGTAGCGGACCCCGGGGTTTGCACGAGGCCCTGGTGTCTGCGCCCACCCTGGCCTCGCTCGCGTCTGTGTCTCCCGGGTGCACGTGGGACTCGGTGCTCCCACTGAGAGTCAGGGCTCATTGTGGTCACCGGCGCAGAGATCAACTGGCACGGGAGGGCGTGGTCCCGCAGCCCCTGCTGTGTATGATGTCTGCAGATGTGGCTCTCACTTTCCGACTCAGGCCCCTCGGGGTTGGCAGGGGTGCCACGAAACGGCAGTGCCTGAGGGCTCCTCGCAGCCTCCCTGGTCCTGGAACGAGCCTGTTAGGTGCTGGCAAGGAGCTTCATATTTGCTCGGCCACGTTTCCGCGTGTCTGCAGTGGCGTCATGGGGGTGATCTAGGGCGGATGGAGCCTTTCTGGGCCCGCGAGGCTCGGGGAGTCATGTCTGAGCACGAACACCACGCAGGACCCTGGACTGGAAGGTCTGGCCTAGGGTTCTGGTTTGGGGGTAACTGAGTTGCGTCGTGGGTGATGAGATGTGCCCCTGGGAACTCTCTCCGGGTATTGTGGGTGATGACAAGACGTGAGTGTTCCCTGGGGCCTCTCCTGGGGTGTTTTGGGTGATGACCGGGTGTTTCCTGGAGGCTCTCTCGGGGTGTCATGGATGACAAGGTGTTGTGGGTGTTCCCTGGGCTTTCTCTGCAGCCTGGCTCGTGGGAGAGGCCTGGGTGACCTCAGCATCGTGTGTGGAACCCCGTGGCCTCACCCTTGTCATGTCAGTGGCCTCGTCCTTGTGGCCTGTGCCCACGTCCCCGGTGGGCAGGCCCTCCTGGACGCTGTCTGGCATCTGATGGTCTCTCTGGTTGCAGGGGTGGGCCAAGTCGTGCTCCAGGTCGCAGCGGCCACTAACTGCAAGCATCACTATGGCGTCGAGAAAGCGGATATCCCGGCCAAGTACGCGGAGGTGAGTGGGTCTGTGGGCCAGGCGTGTGTGTTGGGGATGGGCCCCTCGAAAAGGGACGCCCTGTGCATCCTGCACCCACCCCTGGGGGCTTCCAGGCCCAGGGGGTATTTTTCCTGACTTGAACACCTTTGGCTGCGTTGAGGGTGTGCCTGTGTTAGGTGCTCACAGCCCATCACCAGCCATCCCTGCCAGGCCTCAGGAAGTTTGGGGTTCTTAGTGCCCTGTGTGTCCCAGCATGTACTGTGTGACCCGAGGGAGGTGGGGATAACCCGGCTGCACCCCTTGGCCCCTGAGACCCTTGCCTGGGGATGCCTGTCCTGGAGGATGTTGGGCATTCACTTCGTCACTTCCTGGTGGCCGGGCATCGCATTCCGGGTCCAGGTCTCTGGTGGGCCACTGGTCTCCCTGCTGCCCCACCCACCTGATGTCAGGATCAGGTCTTTGTGGTGCCACCGTCACCTCTGTCTTCCTGGGCTGGGGACCAGGGCTTGGGGAGGGGACATGTCTGACCAGCCCCCCTCCCCACAGAAGTGTTCAGCATGGGTGCCCGGTGGCTCTGGTTGCCTGAACATTGGGAAACCTGGGGGCCCATAGTGACCCCCCCGGGCTGCACATCCCCTGATGTGCCACAGTGGGGCCGTGTGGGGGCGGAAGCCGAGTCCTGTGCGTGCGCTTCCCCAGGCGGGTTGAGGCCCGGCCGCCCACAGTGCTAAGGGGCTGTTTGCTTCTTTGCAGACCATGGACCGAGAGTTCAGGAAGTGGATGAAATGGTATGGAAAAAAGCATGCCGAATACACAGTGAGTGCCACTGCTCATGCCCAGGCTCTCCACCGCCCTCCTCTGAGCCCCTCCTGTCCTGCCGTGCCCTCATGGCCCTTGTGGACACCCTTTGGGTCTCTGGGGTTGCCCGGGTGTGGCCTCCTCTGTGGGTGGGGCCTCTGTCCTCCAGACGGCGGGCGGTGAGCTGGGCCAGGCAGGGAAGGGCTCGCGGTTCTGGGGAGCAGAAGCCTTGTGGTCCCAGGAGTCCTGGCGTCGTCCCTCGCTTCCGCCCTTCCTGTCAGAAGCCTTCGAGGCTCCTGCTGCCTCTTCTGGGTGGACTTGGGCGACCGGGACTCCTCCGGCCTTTCGAGGCTGCTCCAGCACCCTGAGGAAGCTCCTGTTTGGTGGCCCGCCGGCTGTGCGTGCTGGTGTGTGAGCTGGTGCGCTGGTGCCTCTCTTCTGTGGCTGGCTGAGTGGCAGTGGAGCAGATGCGGGAGGGATGCCCTCTGGGGAACGGGACGGATGGTGCTCGTGCGGCAGGTGGGTTGCTTGTGGGGATGGGCGTCAAGAGCAGCTGCCGTGCCCAGGTGCTCTGCCAACCCCCAGACCCTGTCAGCTTTGTGCCCCTGGGCCGGGAGCCACTGGCGTGCGCCCTCAGGCATCCTCGACACGAGAGACGGTGTCCTCGGGTGCTTGCAGCCCGGGTCCCTGACCCGTGCCTTCCTCCTTCAGTCACACCAGTCACGTGCTGTGGCTATTCCTGCGGCCTTGGCTCCCTGGCTCTGGGCCCGCCTGCTGCCCCAGAAGGTTTTCTCGAACCGTTTGCTGCTTGTCCTGCTCGGTGTCGCCACCATGGCTGAGCCTGGATGCCTGTGGACTCCTGAACAGGAACAGCTCGTGGCATTGTCGCTTGGAGCGTCACTGGGGCAGGGGCTGCAGGGACAAGGGCAGAGGGGTGGTGAGCACAGGGCAGCAGCCCTCGCTGGAGAGGCCAGGCGCCCAGTCGCAGCTGTGGGGAATGGCAGCGCAAGGAACTTGTGACGGAACGTTGAGGCAGTGGCTGGTTCTGGGGCTGGCAGCGCCCCAGAGTAGCGGCTGCAGACTGCATCGTTCAGCTGTACCTGGGTCCTCAGCCCCACGCCCGTGCTGGGCCTGTCGGGCTGGGGCCTCCCTTGGGTCCCTTTGGGGTTCCTGCGTTCACTGCTGCACACCTAGTGGCGGAGGATGCGCCCCTGGTGGGGCCGGTGGGTGAACTGGGGTGGGCACGTAGCCCCAGCTCGGACCTGGAGCTCGCGGTCCCGGCACAGAGTCGGGTGTTCCTGCTGCCTGTGCCTGGGGTTGGCAGCCCTTGCCTGTGGGCCCTGTGGCTTGCTCCCTGGCCGTGGTTGTACGAGCCCATCAGCACGTTGTCCAGGCATGGGTTGTCCTCCCTGTGAGGAGATAGCCGGGCCCCAGGTGTCTGGTCACTAAGTTAAGAGCTGCAGCATGGCTGGGCACAGAGGCTCACGCCTCCCATCCCAGCACTTTGGGAAGTCGAGGTGAGAGGATTGCCCAAACCCATGGCGAGACCTCATCTCTACAGTGAATAAAAGAAAAATTACCTGGGCATGGTGGCATGTGTCTGTAGTTCCAACTACTTGGTTGTTTTTTTTTTGTTTTGTTTTGTTTTTTGAGTTGGAGTCTCACTCTGTCACCCAGCCTGGAGTGCAGTGGCCGCTCCCGGCTACCGCAGCCTCGACC